CAAAAGACATGAATTTGGCCGACTTCTCCATTTCTGGAGTAATTTCCACTTTGCTCCTCCCCAAGCTTTCTTTCTGTCCCCAGACTTCCTGAAATCTCACATAGGCACCTTTCTGTGGTGTTTGAGGCTGATTCAGGGAAGGAAAAAAATATTGACTACCAGAATTTCTTGTAATATTGCTATAGATTGGATTTTCCCAAATGGTATTTCTATTCCTTGAAACACAAATCTCACAAGATAATAGGTGCTGGGTGTAAAAGAGCCTCCTTGGTCATGCACACTGATGACTGTCACATCAGAAGAGGTGGAATAGATTTTTTTTTTCTCCTTCTTAGGCTGTACTCCATGATTTCCCTGAGTTACATGATTTCCCAGGCTTTTTGTAAGAGGCAGTTTTAGGAACCATGGGAAGGATTTGGAGTAACGCTTATGGAGGAAGTTACCCTTGATCATGGTAGACTAAGGCCCTACAGACATATGTTTACATTATGTACCCTCTTACAAGTACATTAGAACTAACAACTAAGTCCTGGCTCTACTGATATAATCCTTTTGACCTAGAGCAGGTCACATAACCAGAGCTCAGTCCTAGGGCAGAATACTGAATTGGAAGATAGGACTCACACCCAAGACTGGTAGTTGAAAAGATCTGCAATACTTGTAAGCAAGATAGGAGAGGAAGGGTTTGGTGGGAAGGGAGAGTTGGGGCTGACCATTAGTCTAGGGGCAACAGTAATCTGAGTCCTCACTACTAAAGTGTTGTCTGTGGACCAGCAGCTTGGGTACTATCTTCAAGCTTGGTAGACACACAGAACTTACTGGATTAGATGTACCTTTGTGCCCTTTCACAGATTTGCCTGTAATTCACATTCGCATTAAAATTCAAATGGGAAGCACTGATCATGGGGAGAGCCTATGGCGTTAACTGTAAAAACAGAAAATATCAGGGACTCTGGTTAAGGTCCTTGACTGGAAAGCATGAACAGCAGAGTTTGGATCCCTAGAAACCCATGTAAATGTTTGATGGATGTGGTAACCCACCTGTAATTCCATCCCCAGAAGATGGAGACAGGGGACCCCTAGAGTAAGTTGGCTAGGGAGGCTAGCCATATATGCAGGCTCTGGGCTTGACTGAGAGGCCCTGCCTCAAGAAATTTGATGGACGAACAAGGAGAATGACTCCTGACATCAACTATATGCACCTGCACTCATCCACCCACACATGCACCTACACCTATGCCCCCCAAACCATGACACATACACATACCTGCAAAACATATATACATCACATACAGACACAGACAGACAGACAGATAGACAGACAGACACACACACACAATGGAAAAAGAAAAAAAAAATACCAGAAAATGTAATTTGAAGGTAGAGCTGAAGGAACTTGCTAGTGGAATAGAAGAGTGGCTGGGGTTGAAGCCTAGGCTTTTGGCCTATGTCTCTGGCTGGGTGGTGGAACCATTTCTGAGATGGGATGACACATAAAAGAACATTTGAGAAAGTCATAAATTGTCTTTGGAGACTTGCTGAGTTTGTGAGCTGTGCTCGATACTCAAATGGAGATATCAAAGAGGCATTTCGACACTGGCTACCTGGCGCAGTAATTCTCGATGGATATGTCAATCAGTATCTATTTGCATGGTGAAGGGATCTGAAGCCCCAGGATTGGACGTGAGTGGATAGTGTGGCTGTAGAAAGGTGGATCACCCTGACAGAGGGCTGGACTGGGAGGCTTGACAAGGGAGGGCAAAGAATTTACCAAGGCCACTGAGGTAGTGCAGCCAGGTCGGTAGGAGGGAAATCGGAGCAAAAAGTTCAAGACTTTTCTTTACGTTAGTCACCCATCCCTCCCATGGGCTGGCCAGGACAGGTGTGTCCCTTGGGCAGTGCACCTGCTCGCTCCATGGCCTCTTTGTTCATGATAAGTGTGTATTCATAAATGCCCCCAAGCATGGCCTCCGTGATGAAGTGGGTTCCAAAGTCTCGAAGGAGATCCCGGTACTCTCCGTAGCTGTACTCCAAGGGCAGTCGCTTCACCCGCTGCAGGAATTCATAATGGAGCATGAGGCTTCTGGACTTCAGCTTGTAATGGGCCACTTCAAGGACAGAGCGCGCATGCAGAAACTTGCTTTTCTAAATGAAATACCAACATGGGAAAAATCTAGGAATCTTGAAAGAAGAAGATGAACTTTACAAATACCAGCTACTGCTCTTGCCCAGGCTCGTCACTGTTATGATTCCTTTAGGATATTTGAGGGAAGATGGTCTCCTTGACAAGATTTCAATTCTCATAAATATTCTGATGTCCCTTTTGGCTTGGAAGAGCATACTCTGAGTATATCTTATTGCAGGCACAAATGACGTGGAAAGGGACCTAGAAAACCGAAAAGGGGTGGGACTTGATAACTTGCAAACCTCACCTATTTGATTATGTCTTTGGATTCTGAAAAATAAAAACAAAAACTGCTCAGAAAGACCAAAAATAATGCCTTAGGGAGATAACTATGGTGGCAGTCACACTGCCTGTTTTGTAAATAAAGTTTTATTGAAACACTACCATCCCCATTCACTTATACATTGTCTGCAGTTGCTGTCACACTGTGGTAGCAGTGTTGTACAGTTGCAATAGAGACTCTAATGTCCTATAAATCTCCAAGTACTTTCTTGGTGTCCCCACGAGGTGTGGAGTAGACTGAATGCTGCTGATGTGGGATGAGATCTAATCCCCCAGAAGCATCATCACTCCTGAGGCAGGGCTCCTTGTATTGTGTGTATGCAGAGGGAAGGGGGATGGTAGAAGTGGGGAAGTATGTTTTGTTCTAATCTTGGGTCCTTCAGCACTAAACAGCCCACACAGCCCTGAATGCACTGTCATCAAAGCCCACTTTCCTTCCTGCCCGGTGGCTCAGGACTCTTCTTAGATTTTTTTTTTTAAGCCCCATCTACCTAAGTAGTCACTAGATACTTTGTTCATGACTTTTCCAAATCTTCTAGGTTGCACTCCCTCTTTGTAGGTTTGTGATAGTTGTCAGAACTGAAATGGAGTTCATTGTGTCAGCCCTAAAAAAAGTAAATAAAAATATCAATATCGAAAATCTAAAAATGAATTAAGTCAGGGGGTTATGACGGAAGGTGCTCATTCATGATTGACTAATAACAGACACTATCACAGAAGACTGCCCGAATCAGAACCTTACACAAAGACCACACAGGCTTACACAAAAATACTTCCCCAAGGGCTTTTGTCTAGCAGCCACCCAGCTTCATGGCGCCACCCATGGTGTTAATCCTTCTTGTTTACAATCCCCATTTTTGCCTTTAAAAACTTCCCTTCCCCCAACCCCTTGGAAAACACATATAGCTTACCATAGCATGCTCATTCAGATTGTAATGCTCTGCAGTTCCCAGATAAGTACCACTATTCTTTGAGAATTGCTCTCTGATTGTTATTTAAGTTGGCATATTATTATAAAACTTCCCCACTGCTCTCCATTCTTTCTCTAACCTGTTTCCATTGCCCCAGTCAGAGTCAAGATTCTAAACCTCTCATAATATTATGATAATTTTCCTTTAGAGAAAAACAATCAAACAAGTGTGCATCAGCTGACTATCACCTTCAGAGGAAATCAACCCCTTACTTTGGATTCTTGACCTTCAGGGTCAATAGACATTGTGTCTGTCTGGCTTTAGCTACTCCAACATTGAAGTGTTCCTCTCTGTGCCTGCCTATTTTTGACCAGCCATGCCATACATCAGCATTCATCCAACTCTGCGCTGGCCCCTCAAACCTGCAAGTCATTCTATGAGGTAACTGTACACCAGCTGTTCCTTCTGCCATGAGTCCGACTTATCTTTTAAGTCCCTATCCAGCCATTTCATCCCTGGTTGTCTCAAACACAGGCTCCTTTTCTAAGACAGCACAACGTGTCACTTACTTTTCCTTTACAGCATATGATGGGCAACTGATATAAAGAAATAACGATAATTTAGGTCATAGCTTTACATCCCCTGATAGACTGAGAATGTGAAGGCAAGAAGAATTTGGTAGATGATTTATTAACAGCTTCAAGAGAGAAATTTGAGGGTACCTGGTACAAAAAGTGATAAATGTTTAAGGATATGGAAATGCTAATTACTCTGTTCAGGTCATTATACTTTGTATACACGTTCCAAATTATCATACCATATCCCATAAATATACACAATTTTAAAAATAAAGATCTCAAAACTTAAGCCAGGTGAAACACAGTGTTACCTTTGGATAACTGGTGATTTGAATCCGAGAACTAGGTAAGGACCAGCAGGGGAGGAAAAAGGAAGGAGGTAAATGTGACGGTACTAAGAAGGGGAGTCTCTTGCAGTTGGTCCTGCCCTTCATCACTATAGCTCCATCCTGAGTGTGTGCTATGTACCATCCTTGTCTAAAGATGAAAGAAACAGATCTGTCTCCCGAAGACCCTTAGCCTAGAAGACAGGGGGAAGTGATGGGTTGGGATATTAGAGAGGCAGATGCTGGACAGATCGGAGACCTTGAATTCTAGGGTAATGAAGGTGCATTTTGTTCTCCTCTTCCACCAAGACACTGGCTTTGATCCTAACCTTATAGGCAGCAAGGAACACACGATGTTTAGATTAGTGTTAGAGAAACATCTGTCAGGCAGCACATGCACGTGAAGGGGCAAGTTGGGGAGTCAAGAAGACCTTTTAGCAGGGTAGTTCAAGGCAAAAAGGATTGGGCCAGTAAACCCAGGAAGGAAACTGATAAGACATAGAAAGGAAATAGGAGAAAGAGGGAGGGATGGTGGAACCAATTCCACCAGGAGTCAGAGAAGAGGTATTGGGTCACATTTCAGAAACTTACCTGAGAAATAAGTCAAATTACAATGGGTTGAAAAATCCACAGATATGTTTTGTTCTGGTAAATCTACATATTAAGTTATTGAAAGTCAAAGGAAAGGGCTCATTAAAAATAATAGAAAATAAGAATAGAAGACTGTTACTGTTTGACCTCTCTAAAAAGTGAGTAAACATAAGACCAGGATATTATTGATGAAAAGATTTTCATGACAAAAACTTTCATTAGGGCCAAGGATAATGTGAAATGCAAGCACGTTTGTGAGCATGAAATTTCAGAAGACGATACACACATTTAAAGGCAACAAGCAGGTACTTACAGTGTGAGCGAATCGCTTGGTTCTGCTAATATAATGTTTGCCTTGGTTGCTTTCCTCTTGAATACGAAAGTCAAAGAAGTTACTGATTTTAAATCCAAAGCTGAAACTAAACTTGCCAGTTGCTTTCTTTGTGACATTGTGTTCAAAATCTGAGTATGATTCATATTCTGTTAATGCAAATTCGTATTTGCCTTGGGTCTAAAGAAAGAGAAGAGAAAACTTTTCATAGGCTTTGACTCACATCAGTTCAGTACACACCATCAGATATCACTGTATTCTTACTGCAGGCTGGAACTGGACTAGATAATCTAGAAACAAGAACATCAGGGCCAACCTGCATCCCCAGCTCAGGGTTCCTGCTCCAGCAAGAAAGACAGAACTAGTAACACTGTGGTTGGTGCTATGAAGTCTGACTTGGGTTTCAACTGGCTGGAATGCAAAGGGTTGGGGGGATGTTCTAGGCTGCGGACTTGTCTTGAGCAGAGACATGGAGAGAAGTAGGAGTGTCTTAGGTGCTGCAAGTTGAATCAGAAGATGCAGGAGTGAGGGGAATGGGCAGGGGTTGTACAAGAACATTCTGGTATCGGAATATTGAGGCTTTTGAGTTGCTTGGTCTTAACTGTGAGCTTACTGCAAACATGAACTGAGAGAGGCAGGAGTGGAGCCTGGGGTGGGTCTTCTGGGACAGTATGGCAACTGGACTGGAAGGGACGAATCTGAATGTCGAGTCACAAGCGCAGTGGAGGCGCTATGAGAAGAGCAGGTTGAGGAGAGCCTGAGGCGGGAGTTGAAGTATAAACTGCTACATCCAAGTGGTTTAGTGAGAGCTTAACAGACCTATTTGCTCCACCATCAGTGCTGCCCTTGCATAAAACTGCCAGAGACACTATCTTTGTGGACCTGAGTGACCAGCTATTCCCCACTTCTGCTCTCGTGGGCATCTGGATACCTGCAATTCTTATAAGGTGGGCACGATGTCTCTACAGCGTTGGAAAGGAGCAGTGGTGATGCAGTTGTGGCTTAAATCGGGGCTTCTGGGGCACAGTGTCACTGCCTTCTTCTAGGAGGATGACTCAGGCCAATTAATTTCCCTAAGCCTCATTTTCTCCAGGTGCAAACTGGAGATGACAACCATGGCTCTCATTAAGCCTGTCCTAAGGATCAGGCTCACATAGGTACCTGGCACAGCCTGAGGAATGGCTGGCTATGGAGAGAAGAGACTAGACGCTACAAGTGCTGCCTGGACTGGGATCTGGCTGTTGTAATGTTCCTCTGGGAAATAGAGGCTGAAGGGGATCTGGGCACCTTGGTGGAAGATGTGCTTGGTCGTAGGCTAATTTTTCCCCTTGGTGGCCAATAAGTATTGCTGCAGGACAAGAAAGAGGAGGGTGAGGGGAACTGCAGTTTTGGAAATGAGATGACCGTCAAGATAGACACTTCAGACCAGCCCCTCACTTTACAGACGAGGAGACCGAGGTCAGAGTAGAAAAGGAGTTTAGTCTAAAGTAAAACCAAGACCTACTGTCTTCCCACTTGATGGCAAGTATCTGGGTGTTATGGCTCGTGGTATATTCCAAACTCTACTCTGTGAGAGCTGTGTCAAGGGTTATATATGAGTTATAGTACGGGCTTTCATGGGTGCAACATTTTATTTTAAGATTTATCTATTTTATTTTATGTATATGTTTGCATATGTGTATGTACTATGTGTGTGCAGGTGTCCACAGAGGTTAGAAGATAGTGTCAGATCCCTCTGGAATCGGAGTTACAGGAATTTTTGAGCCACCTGATATTAGGTGCTAGGCACTGAACCTGGGTCCTCTATAAAAACAGCAAGTGTTCTTTGCTGAGAGATCCAGGCCCACGGGTACAGCATCTATCACTTTAAATACTTAGAACATGCTTGGTTTGGCAAGGACATGGTAATGATGACAAGCAGAGTTCACATGAACTGAGGGCTCCCCATGCCACCAGGTACACAATTCTGTCCGCTTAGCCACATTATCTCACTAATCTTCTCACTTCAGGTAGGAAGCCCATGTGACCCCAGATCCTAGGCTGTCTTCAAGGTGACTATTGATATTGTTGGATTAGCGTTACTAATACCACAGCTCCTGCTGCTGTTACCACTCATAGCACACCATCCTCAGCAAAAGGAGTTGTGTTAGGGTCCACACACTTTACACAGGAAGACACTGATGCTTCAAGAGAAAGGGGTACATCGAAGCCACAAAACACCAGGCTGCAGAGAACTAATTTAGTAGTCCCTCACTGTCTGCAGCAGCTACCCAGCTGTCACTTACCTGTGGGGTGTAGCTTTCCACATTGTATGGCTTCCTAAACCTGGTATTGAAGATGTAATGGGGGGAGCATCCACCAGCATAATACCTGTGATCCAGAACTGGGCCCTCGAAACTGTTTGTGAACAGATTTAGCCTGTATGGAAGGCACAGACAGTGGGAGAAAGCTCAGCATTTGAACCTGGGTGATTTCTGCTGTCAGTTGGCAGATCCCACTGAATGAAACTCAAAACTCCTGACTCAGGTAGAGACTGATGATTGTCTAGGGAGAAGGTATATTCTTGTCACGGTCATGGCCTTCCTTTCCAGTGAAGTCTTTACGATGATTCTTGTCATGCGGAAAGAGGCAGAACGTGTAGATGCCAGGCTCACTTGGCCCCTTCTGATCTTGTTCCTCTAACCTTGTAGGAGATTAGACCAGTGCTTGGATTCTGCAGAAGCTGAGACACACATGGACCACAGGCCACCCTGAGCTCCATTGCTTCACAAAGTGCTCAAAAGCCCCTTCTTTCAGCATGGTGGATGCCAGGGACTAGGGACACAGAACTAGATAAAACCTACCATGTGAGTTGTCTATAGAATTCAAGGGCGGTGCTTAGGATGACCCTGACACAGTCAAATTATGGGAATTATGATTAAGGCTCACCCCAGCCTGTGAACCTCTGTTTCATTGTTCTTAAGCCAACTCTCACATGACCTTAGTCTATTCATGGGATCAGCTTCCAAGGCAACGTGGAACCGACCTGGGAACAGGCAGCGGCAACCTCTCACACCATAACGTTTCTTTCTCAGAAAGGAGAACAAGCAACTATCCACTTCCACTCTGTCTTCCATTCTCCAGAACTCTGCTTAGTGCTGTCCTTTCCCACCCATCTAGCAGAAACACAGCAACTTACCCACTGGCCAGATGGCCAATCGCCCAGTACTGCTCCATCTCCTGCTGGCATTTTTTAGAAATCCTCCTACAGTTTGCTTCATCTGATTGGTCTCCACAGTCATTGTCCCCATTGCAAAGGAGTCTGCGGTTCACACACCTTCCTGAGATAGAGAGAGGGACCACCACACTCACAGGGCTGTGAAGAGAGAAACTAACACAGCCTGAGCATCGGTAGGTGCCAAGCATGTTGCTGGGCCTTCGGTGCCTGTTCTGATCAATCTTCATGTTTCAGGCAGATTGGAAATGGGACTAACCGTTCACATCCTTCTTGCCACCTTCCACCCAAAGAGACCAGTGTCATATTCGTAAAAGCACTGAGGAGCGATTATCTGGAACCATCTGTGAGGGGGCAGGGGGCAGGCAAAGTGGTTGAGAATCAAGGAACAAGTGGCTAACCAGGATGGCGGTCTGGAACCTCCTTCCCATCTCCTCAAGCTGGGCTAAGTGGTGGGGGGAGCACGCAAGCAGCACCAGCCAAACCATGTTGCATGTGTGGCCCAACCTCCTGCCTCAATTCTTCATCTGTAAGTGGAGAAGTCATCATAGCTATCCCATAAGGCTATGGGTGATTTGTGTGAGTAAATAAAACAGAACTGACTCATTGAAACACCGCGAAAGCTTTCTCATTGCTGTGGTTAGTGTTTTTGAACGCCAAGTGCGCATTGCTAGTAAATATTTGTAGCACAATTGGAACCTTTAACTGTCTGGTCATAAATTCTTCCCCTAACCCCACACTGCCTTCAGCACCATCATTTGTATCATTTTTGTTTCCCCTAAACTTTTTTCCCTCACTGTCTCTCTTTCTTAGAGCATTTTTGGGGAGATTAAGTGGGTAGGACAGGTGGTTCTGCTTCCTTAGACACACTGGATCATTTTTAACCAATATCATCCGGATATAAAAGGCAGAAAAACAACAATCTTGTCTTCAGATGTTTCTTACAAGGCATTTAAACTAAAGCCCTCATGAATAACCATTATGGATCTGGCCAGAATCCTGGAACACTGGCCATGATGAGTCCATGGGTACACTGTAAAAAAGTCTCTCCGATTTATTAGATGGAATTTTACATTCGCAATAAGCCCTAAAAATTGTTCCGAGAATCCCTGTCTCCCTTAGAAAAGTACTGGAGCACAGGTCACATGGGCGCCGTGAATGCAGGGCATCACGGCTCCTCTGTAGGTCACTTAGGCAAAGCTTCCTTGATTTTGCCAGACATTTGCAGAAATGGAGAGACATAATTTACTTGGATTAGTAAGTGACTGAGTTTGAGGAACATGTGTTTCCTTTGTTTGGCAGTGGATAATCACTCTTTCTGTCCATCTGTCCATCTGCCTTCCATATTTGCTTTCCTTCCTTGGGGAAAACCAACCTTTTTACTGACTACATCATGCTTCTGGGGTTACTCTAGACTTGCTGATGAGGAAATGCAAATGGCAGGGGCCACATTCCAAAGCTTTTCCGTGATAAGCTGTGCTGATCGCCCCTTTTAGCTATTTGGGATTTGGTCGCATTATGCTCAACCCCATGGCTCTAACAGCAGCAGCAGACCTACCTGATGACAGAGGGCTTTCATTCTATTGGTTACATGACGTGACAGACATGGAAGGTATTAAACATCACCCTCAACTTGTAGTGCTATAACCAAATTCCACAAAGGCTAAGTGAGTTCTTCTAGATCACACAGAATCAGACCTGGCCCAGCACGCACACTTCTGATGTCCGTGAATACGGTTTTCAGATTCCCACCTGCAGCTCCTCCACTGACTGACCCTCTGGATGATTTGCAGCAAGTCTCCTCTCCAAGCCTCTATATCTTGGGTTGAAAACTAGGGATAATAACACTACGTTACAGCATGGGGATGTTTTCATGGACTAATACGTGGGTTAGAGATTGAAATCAAGGGAATCCTCCTGGCCTGCCCTGCAACCGTGGTCATGAAAATGACATGCTCCATTTCTCCCTTACCACATGCTATTATCTGCTTTCCAAGCTTCCCCTCCGTCTCCTACACCTTTCCATACCTGTCTGTGCACACACGAAGCCTTCACATCGCACTTGACTTCTGCAGGGTCTGTTAGTCACACAGTCTTCAACTTCCTTGTCAGAGACATCGCACAGTTCCCCATAGAACTGAGAGGGCCGGAGCAAGTAGGCATGTCTGTACTGTAGCAGAGAGGAACAAAGTGAGCCGTGTGGACCCACCGGGGACCTGTAAGCTCTGAGAGCAAGCACAGCGAGGGTGGCCCAATGCTGCTCGCCCACTGCTTGAGCTTCCTTCACCATCTACACGAAGGGACTGTTTCCCCAGCTGCATTAGGTCCTCTCTGGGGCAGGTGATCTTGTTTTGAATCTCTGTATCCACAGTGGTCTGCCAAGATTTGCTAACTGTGGAAAAAGCACGGTTTCAGACTCAAAGTTAATGAAGGGACTCATCTGGTCATTCAATAATAAGCTATCTCTCAACTTAATTATTCCAATGAGTGATTCATGGATTACCACCTATTCCTTAAGGCATCAGTATGTTATAAATAAAAACTGTGTGCACTGAAGCTACAATTGACTCCAGGATTTTCTAGTTATATGATGGTCAAGTAATTTAATCTTTGCAAATGGCACAATTTATTCATCTGTAAACCAAGGGCATTGACTTTCCTCAATGTACAGTTTAAAATTTAAATTATGCATGTTCTAGATTTATTACTATCACTAAAATTATTTATATTAAGTTGTGTATTAATTTATATTATATATCATATATTGCTATTTCAATCTCATGTTTTTCAGGTATAAAGTAGGTACTCAATTTCTTACCATTATTTCTTTTTCATTATTAATGTTTTAGGAATCAATATTGTGTATCTCTCTCTTCTTGCTAATTTATTCTGAAAATATAGATTGAGCTACCTTATGTTCAAAAGGGTAGGTGTTTTTGCTTGTTCCACTGTTGATTGGTTTTTTTATCATCATTGAGTCTTTTTGCCTACTTCAAAAACAGGGGGTCACTGGTGGTGGCAGGAGGTACCTGGGTGCTTGACCAGGTAAGTGGGGGGTGCTCTGCAAGCTCCTAGGGAAATCCGCATTACAAACCTAGGAGACAGTGGATGGCCTCCAGGAGTGACATTGAGGCTGTCACTGGAAAGTCTGGGAAGAATAAGGGCAGACGCGGAGAGCAGGGAAAGGATGGCAAAACTCCATAGGGGTAGAGGAAGCTTCTGGACTAAAGGATGCACCTCATTTCAGAAAACAGTGATGAGTTCCTCATGGGTAGAAAGGAGTGCAAGACAGAGCAGAGAGAGCTTGTGGGAGACAGCAGGCAGGGCAGGGAGCCAGGGGTCCCAGACCCGCAAGGGGACTTCACAGAAGCAGGAAGCAGTCACATTTGGGTAATTTTCACATTAACAGCCGAGATTTTGGTACACAGAGGGGCCAGATGACCAGAGCAGCCCCTCTGCCAAGTGCTGTAACATCAAGGCACAGTCGGTACACGTATGACATCGGTGCTGTGGCTCTGAAACACAGGAAGGAACCTAGATGGTCATTTACCCACCCCTGTCCTTCCAGAGCTATTCTTCTGTCCTAGTTTGTCTCTCCATTGCTGTGACAAAACACTCTGACCAATACCAATGTGGGGAGGAAAGGGTTTATTCAGCTTACATCTCCCAGGCCACAGTTCATCAGGGAGCCCAAGGTAGGAACTCAGGGCAGGAACCTGGAGGCAGGACCTGGAGCACAGGCCATGGAGGAACGCTGCTTACTGGCTTGCTCTTCTGGCCCCTGCTCAGCCTGCTTTCTTATGCAACACAGGCCCACTTGCCCAGGGGTGTCACCACCCACAGTGGGCTGGGCCCTCCCACATCACTCAACAATCAAGAAGGTGCCCCATGGACATGGCCACAGGCCAGTCCAATAGAGGAAATTCCCCAATTGAGGCTCTCAACCCAGGGGTGTCAAGTTGACACTAAAGCTATCCAGCACATCTTCCTAGAAGGCGAATAAGACTGAGAAACAAGGCAAAACCAGCACACCACACCCAGAAACAAACCACGAAACTTTGCTCAGATTAGGAATAGAAGGAACATTTCCCCGAAACAATATCTGACAAACCCACAGCAAACGTCATGCTAAATGGGGAAACACTGAAGACATGTCTTCTAAAATCAGTGACAAAGTAGGATGTCCAGTTTCAGCACTCCTATCCAGCACAGAACTGAACGCATGAGCCAGAACAAGTGGGCAGGAGAAAGAAACGAAAGGCAAAGAAGTCGAAAGGGGAGATACAGAAGTATTCCTGTGTGCAGACAGAATGATTTTTTTTAATGTAAAAAACTAAAATCCTCACCAAAATACTGTTGGGGTTGATAAAGTCAGTAAAGCTGCAGGACATAAAACTAACAAACCAAAGCAGCAGCATTTTATATCCCAGGCTGAAAGGGGAAATTTATAATTAATCTAGTCACAATATCCACAAAATATTAAGATACAAGATATTCTACGTTCATGGATTAGAAGAATGAATATTGTTCAAATCTACACCACCCAAAGTAATCTAAAGATCCAATGCCATCCCTAGTGATAATACCAGTGACAATGTTGGCAGACCTAGTAGAATCATCAAAAGATTAATATGGAACAAAAAAGCCAAAATATGAAAGCAGTTCTGAGTAAAAAGAGGAAAGCTGGAGGCGTCACAGTGTCTGACTTTAAACATACTATAAAGTTAGGGTGATCAAAAGAGTATGGGACTGCTGGGCATGGTGGCGCATGCCTTTAATCTCAGAACTGGGAGGCAGAGACAGGTGGATCCCGAGTCTAGCCTGGTTTACATAGTGAGTTCCAGGCCAGCTATGTCTCCAGGGAGATCTTGTCTCAAAAAGACAAAGCAATAACAGTAACAACAGACCATGGAACTGGCATCAAAGCATGCACACAGACCAATGGAACGGGCAAAACCCAGAGGTGAATACACACACACCCAACTGGATAAACAGAGGGAATCACTCAGTCAGTAAAATATTGGAGAGGCAGAGACAGGTGAATCCCTGGGGCTCCTTGGCAGACAGCCTATCTTACTTGGTGAGTTCTAGGCAGATGAGAGACCATGTCTCACAAAAGGCAGATGTGCTCGAGGAATGACAACCAAGGTTGTCCTCTGACCGCTACATGGTTGAGCACACAAGTTCATACATATGAGCAGAGAGAGAGAGAGAGAGAGAGAGAGAGAGAGAGAGAGAGAGAGAGAGAGAACTGGGCATACATTTGTAGAAGATGGAAACTAGATTCCTTTCTATCACCACATAAAAAAAAATCAACTTAAAATGGGTTGAATCCCTAAATGTAAGATGCCAAACTATGAAAAGAGAGGAAACACTTCAAGACACAAGTATAGAGAAAAAAAATTTCGATAAGATTTACCTCAATAGCAAAACTAGAAAAATGGGATTATAGCAAACTAGGAAGCATCGCATGGCCAAGGAAATAATCGAGTGTTAACAGACAAATTGAAGACTGTGGGAAATGTTAGGGTCAGACAGGGAGTTAATATTTAGAATAAAGAAGGAATTCAAAGAGTAGCAAAAATCCCAACAAACTGATTTTAAAATGGGTACATGATCTCCACAAATATTTTTCAAATGAAAATGTATAAATGGCGAAGATGCCAAGAAAAGGGAGTTTCTATACACTTGATGAGAGTGTGAGTTTCCATTGCGGAAAGCGGTGTGGAGGCCCCACAGGAAGCTGAGAATAGATGACCACGTGAGCCAGCGATCTTGATACCAGAGATGCATGCAAGGGCACGAAGTTGTGATAGCGAAGGAACACTGCACACCCGTGTGTATTTCAACACCATTCACCATAGCCAAGATAGGAAGGCAGCAAAGACATCTGTCAAAAGATGAATGGATTAAAAACTGTATATTTTACAGTGGAATACTAGTCGTCTCTAAAAGGATGAAATCCAGTCACTTGTGGCAATATGGATGAATTTTGAGGACATTATATTAAGTGAAAATAAGTCAGGCACAAAAGGCAAATGCCACACGTTCTCGCATATTTGTGGGGGCTAGAATAGTTGAGCACACGGAAGTAGAGAATAAAACAGAACTCACTAGGAGCTAGGAAGGAGGGAGGGACATGGAGAGAGGGTGGGTGACAGATACCAAAATGCTCTGTGTGTGTGTGTATGTGTGTGTGTGTGTGTGTGTGTGTGTGTGTGTGTATGAGAGAGAGAGAAAGAGAGAGAGAGAGAGAGATCTAATGAACACAAAGTTCAGCAGATAACTGTACATTATTATTGTCTGCAATAATTGTTCAGTTCAAAGTAACTTGTACTTCAGCACATAACAACAATCATATTTGAGGGCAGAGAAAAGCTAATTACCCTGGTTTGATAGAACTCGAAACTCTGCTCAGAGACACATCTTCTGAGAAGCCTTCCCTGACAGCTCATCAGCACCGACTTCAGTTAGATACAGCAGTATTTACAACTTCTGTGGGCCCCTCCTACTCTACCCTCTAGTATTTCTTATACTGTGATGTTTAGCATTTACTACCACTAAACAGCAAACTCCTGAAGACATTCAAGTGTGACTGAAATGTGCATGCAAATTTCTGGCATGTAACAGGTGCTTCATAAATAGTTGATATTTGAGCTCATTCTGCTTTCTGACATCTTTCCCTGTAAGGAGAAGAAGGTGCTACAAGTTCTGTTAGACAGGTAAACGGAAGCTGGGAGCAGGTAAGTGGTTTCTTGGGACCCCCTAGTAGCAGATATAAACCTTCAATTCAGGCCACAGGTTCCTTATCAGTCATTCAACCAGTAGGACCAGTCTTCACAGTGTTTGTCCTTGAGCCTCCTTTGTGATGGGAGAGCTGACCCAGGATCCCAGCTCCGAGTGCAGCAGATGTGTGCTGTTCCCCTGGCTTCCTGGGAACCCGGACCTATCATGCCAAAGACTCTAAAGAGACTGTGGAAGTCAGCCCGGGACAATTACACAGTTAATTGGATCAATGGGGAGAGCCAACCACAATCATTCTGTTCCCAGAGTAGGTTTTCTTGCTGAAGTTATCAACATTGATCCAATTATCTGGATAATTGCTTCATCTGCACCATAATCCAGAAGGCCTCAGCGTGAGCCAGCCAGGCAGCCAGCTCTCCTCACCAGAACTCACTGTGGATTCCCTTAGCCAGCATCAGCCCTGACTGCAGGCTCACTGACTCAGGGCTCAAAAAGACTTCCTAATCCAGACTTGCAAGTGTATTTCCTTCATCCTTCCCACACTACTCCTCAAACTGTTTTGCCTTAAAAGCTTGGGGATTGTCTTCTGGGAGTCTTCTTGTATGTATGTGACTTTATTTTTATACGATGTGTTTTATAAGTTTTTGTTAGTCACTCAAGGCTAAGGGAAAGGTCACTGCTGACTGAGAAAGCAGCTCATACAAAGGCATAAGAGGAAGGGCTATGGCAGACAAAATACAAGAGCTGCGTAGGCTGGAGTGGGATATGTCATGGAGGTGAGGCTATGTCAGGTGACATCAGAAGTCTGGACTTGATCCTTGGGGCCAGGGCTAGACTTCGAATGGCTCACATGGGGGAAAGACTGGTTAGATGTAGCTTTGTGGTACACTGTGAAAGATGGACTGAAAGAGCAGGCTAGAGGCAGGAAGCCCAATCAGGAAACTGCAAAGACAGCTGTCTTTAGGAAACACTGAAATATCAAAGGGAAAACCTGCTTGAAAGCACAGAGTCAGCATCTTTGATGAACAAGGCATCATCAGTGCCTCTGCCAATCTTGTTGAGGACCCCAGGGGCCCTGGAATTTTATTGCCCACGCAAGGCCGGGGATCTTACCCTTTTCTTCTGACAAGGGTCACATGCAGTCCAGGAAGACCAGCTGGACAGCTCACAGTCAATAGGCATTGGGGTGACAGCCACACTCCGCACCGGTCTGCTCTTAACAAGGCTCCTGTTGACTGCATTTGTCTCAAAGAATTGTGGCTTCTCACCTCTAAAAGTCATCATAAGAGAAGAGAATCAAGATTCAGAAAAGAATTACATACATCTCTCATTACCCATCTATCCATCCATCCAGGCCACTCATCCAATAAATACTTATCTGATCACTCGTGTAAGGCAGGTCCTTTATCAGTCCAGTACTAGATAATCCATCCAACAAATATTTACTGAACCTTCAGGAAGTGCCTGACGTTAGAACTATTGTGGTAAAGAGTATTGAACTTGGGCTAGAAGACAGCCCCTTACAGCTGGGTGCTCACGGCTTTTCTGCCTGTTTGAGGTTCATTTTCTCCTCCACATTCCTTCACATGGCTTTTTTTTGGATTATGAAACACAGTTTTCACTGTTATGAGCTTAACAGGATCCAATCCCTGCTAGGTGTGTGATCTGCAGCAACTCATTCCCCATCTCTGGACCTCTTTTTGATCCTTTGGAGATGAAAGATTTGGACTAGATAGTCTTTGTGGTACCTTTTCTTACTAAAAATCTATGAAACATTTGCTGAGAACAACTGATATTGAGGATTTTAGGCTACAGAGGATATAGTGCAGGGTCTGCCTTGTGAGACTCACAATTTGTCTTAGAGTAGGAAAGGAGAAACTTGTATTGTAACTCTAGGGAACTTTGTCCATGGCCAGAGCAGGGCTTGAAGATATGTGGAGGCCAAGTGGGATTTGGTTGGGCCTGAAGGCTGGGTAGCAGGTAAAAGGCTGCTCTAGGAGTCCCAGTGAGAGATGTGAACCCAAACCGTATGCTAAGAGAGGGGAATGAGCAGGTTATTTCTCAGGTGGAAGAAATAGAACGTGATCGGTTAATGAAAGGGATGAAATGAAGAAAGAGTTTGGGTTGATGCTAGAATTTCACCTGAATGCATGGGTGATGGGGACATAGGACAGATGTGTTGGGAAAGATGGTCCATGTTTTCATGAAATGTCTATAAATTCATTCAGTGCATGGTTCTTAGCTGAGTCTGAAATGTAGAAGACAGATGTGTGCTAGAGACACAGATCTGATCATGAGGATCTGAGATCGAGAGACTGTTCTCAAGAAAAGCAGGCCATGGAAAAGCAGTTGGGAAGCATCCGTGATGCAGCAGACAGGGAGAGCTGGTGTCAGCCCAGGCCAGGGTATGGAGAGTCTGTGGAGGAAAGGAATAGGAGCGGGGCAGTCAGCAGAGCCACACTGCGCAGCAGCCAAGCAACACAAGAGCTGAATGTGTCTAGAATGCAGTGCTGTTTATTGAGTCCCTGGCATTCTGCCAGGTATACGTAAATGGGTGAGCCTGTTACTTAACTTGCTTGAGCCTCAGTTTCTCTACCTATAATTTGGTAGATAAATTATGATTCTTTTTTTCCGTCCCATCTGAGTCTATTCCACTGTGAGATCCATCGTGCCTTATGCTCCTTTTTAAGCTAAAAAGATGAGAGGAGAGGAATGAAGATTTGCTCAACACCCATGATGTCAGACCCAAGCATTGTGCTGGGTATTTTCTTATGCTTTTACCCCATCCCACAGAAGATAGTTATGGAACACTGACACCTTGACAAATGCAGAAATGGCTCCGAGAAACAGGATACGGCAGTCCACCAGGATCTGAGTCTAGGCTTATTTGACTTATCAGCATGTATTTTGTTCCTAAGGGAACCAGCATCCTCTCCAGTGATCCTGTACCACTATCTTTGCAAGGGTCTGCAAGACTTCTTTCATCCCTGAATCCAAGATTAAGTCATTAGGGGGAGCATCACAAAGCTTCCACAGTCAAATACATGGGCTGTCACCCCAAACAAGGTCATTAACAATACATTCTCACTTGGCAAAAGTCCTAAAAAGAGGATAATATTAACTACTGTGAACTCCATTTCCATGACTGCCCCAGAGACCAGCAAAAATCAATTGCCTAGTAAAGTTGGATCTTTAACAAAAGGTCAAAGACTCTGCTAGAAACCACAGGTGGGTACTTGAAAGTGGTTACTAAGGCAGGGTGTTGCATAGCAGCTGGGCCTCGCATGGGCTTCTATCTACTAATTCGCCCAGGTTTGACAAAACAATACTGTCTGTGACTCGGCTTCTCCTGAGTACGTATTTGACAGCTCTGCAGGGTACCTCCTTCTTATTTCATCTACAAAGCAGTTACACTGTGGTTTCTGCAAGTATCAACCCAATTCAGGGCCACGGTGGAGACTGAGTGGATAAGTAACGTGCACAGTTGCCATTAAGAGTCACAATTACTTTCCTCTCTGAGATTTGAGAGCTGGTTAATGGGCACGATGATGGTTTAGAGAAGGAACTTGGTGAGAAGCACTTATAAACACCAGATCTCTCATTTTTGCACCCAATTTCCATTATGGAGGTGGCAATATAATGAAGTAATCAGCTGACTAAATAGTATGTTTGCAAATTACATCGGGTAAGATGCGTGTGGTTTATTAGTACTACAACATGCAAATTTAAAAGAAAAGGCTAGCATTAAGTCACATCTTGATTCCTGAGAATGGCAGACACACAACAAGTTGAGGTGCGTTTATATCTTACCGATGTTTTGCAAGTTCAAAAAATATTGCTGTAAACACCCTTTCATAGTGCACTGGAAATGTGCTCCGTCTAAGGGAGTGTTGGCAGCAAGGCTAATTTTGGGGGGATGCACAGAATGCCACTACAAGCCTTACACACATCGATCTGGGTCCAGATCTCCCATTCTCCTTCAAACAGGCATCTCTGATCAAAATAAAGATGGATCCATCAAGTACAACAGGATTAAGTCAGCAGGAAATTTCAGGCTCTCAGCTGATATAGATGGGATACATCAATATATTTTGGCTTTCGGTAGAAATGCCCTGACACAACAACTTTCTTGTCACACACAATTTGTTAGACAGCTGCATCCCTGTGCAAACAGCAATCCTCCTCTTTGCTCGCAACGGCAACTTCTAGGGGAAAGATTTTCCGTTTCTCTTTTCTTTGTAGTAGATGCGGAATTTAAAGGTGCATCTCAAACTAGTGAATGTGTTTCCCAGAGACAGAGAAACAGCCTGAGCGTCCAGAAATTCCCATGGATGTGCAAGAGGAGGACATAGTATCGGTAAGAAGAAAAAGACAGAGAATATGCGGCTTCTGGAAGCCACCACACCCCAAATGGATTGAGTAACAGCCACACAACCTCTGAGCCTCAGTCTTCTCCTCTTTACAGCCATAAACATTAACACTGAAATGAATGCTGGGGGATGAAAGAAAATGCCCGGCACAGAATGACAGTAATGACAATTGATCAATAATGATCAATAGGCCATAGGTCAATGTGACCTAATTGTGAGCTGATGTGCAGGAGGCTGCAGCATTTTCTGCTCCGGAATGGAACACTTCTCTCTGCTTTCTGTCTGAACTCAGATTCGTGCTGTGTTCAGGACTGCTGTGTAGGAATCACGGGTGGAAGTCAGAACACTGAACTGGGAGTCACGGAACGGGTGGCCACTCGCTGAGTGTAAGAGATTCTCCTCTTCCCTCCGAGAATCAGTTTGTCCTTCTAGAAACTGAGAACGAGAGCCACCCTCCCCAAGATCCAGCTGTGAGGTTTCATAGCTCGTACACGTCTCACCTGAAGGAACTCCACTCTCTACCTCAAAGGAAACTTTTTTTTTTTTTTTTGGACTTTTTGAGACGGGTTCTCCCTGTAGCCCCAGCTGGCCTGGATTCGCTATGGAGACAAGGCTGGCCTTGAACTCACAGAGATCCGCCTGCCTCTGCCTCCCGAGTGCTGGGATTAAAGGCTTGCGCCACTACACCCGGCCAAGGGAACTTGTAATACATACGTTCCATTATGCTGCCCTTCACTTCTATTGCCCTGTTGTTTGGAGGACATACTTTGAATCCCTTAGCTGCTTATTCCTAGTTTCCATCCGCCTTGCAGTTCTTACGTTGGCCTGTCCTCAACGGTAGGGGAATGAATGCACCTGGAGCCTCGGGAACAAGCCAGGCTCTCCCACACCTCCGTGCCTTTTGGCCTGTGCTGTTCTCTGCCCAGTGCACTCTCGCCCCTTGCCAGGCCTCCTGCTCAGGAGAGCTGGTCTCTCTCCCTCCCTTGATCGCTGTTTGTGTCTGTGCCAGCTCTTGCAAGTCTGTGTGTATTTGCTCATACGTTGCCTTTCTCCCAGGAATCTCAAGCTTGTGTATCTTCCGGGGCAAATAAAGACCTGTGCACAGGGGCGCAGTGCTGCAGGGAAGGTTTTGTGAATCCTCTTCCAGGCACAATTCCCTTCTAGGCCCACAAGAAAAGACAAGGCAGGCTTTGGCACTTAGTCTCTGGGCTAAATTGAGAGTCATCTTAATCTTAATGGTGAGTATTGGAGTGTCTGGTGGGTAGTGAAGACTCAGAACCCTGGTTCCAGGAAAGGTGCTTAACGGGGGCAGAGGAGCATAACAGGAGAGCTCGGAACAGTGTGGAGTACTGGGCACTGCTTGCACTCAGAGCTCATGCTGAGGGAGTAGTTCTAGAGTAACGAAAAGGAAAGGCCTTGGCCCAGTAGCATGCGCCAGTGCACAAATGCACCTGTGCTTTCATATCTCATGGTGGAATCTATTCAGGCACCAGGAGGGTCTTTCACTGGAGCCCATTTGATCCCCTACTAGGATGATTTCTTTTAGGTATTTTTCATTATCTGAATGGAGACTTTAAATGCTAGAAAGAGAAACAGAGAGAGAGACAGAAAGAGAGAGAGAGAGAGAGACAAAGAGAGAGAGACAGAGAGGGAGAGACAGAGAGACAGCTTAAGAGACCCACCTACCTACCCTGAGACATTTGGGCTGCTCAGCAGGAAGAGCAAGTCATCCTTGTACATTAGGGTCATTCACATGACTTGGCTCCTTTTTCGTATATCACACACCTTTCACATAAAGAGCGAGACCAAAGCTCTGCTCAGAACACAGAACATAGTGTCTTATTCTTCTCATCTTGACAAAATTCACTGAAGCATGTCAGTTCTTTAACGGGCACTTTTGTTAAAGTCAGCCACTTGGTTCCACAATAATTCAGTGGGAGTTGTTGGTATTATTTTATCAGACACATGCAAATGGCTTGGAGAGATGTTCTTCAGCCCATAGGCATGTGATAGAGTCGGTCAGCATTAAGTGGCTTCATGTTCTCTGCCATCAGGGAATCGTTTGTACCTGTCACTTACCTGGAGCCTGGCAAATGGAGACAGCCCAGGGCAGCACATAGAAGACACACCTCTGCCAGTGCCCTCCAAACCCGCGCCCCTGTCCTCATGTTCTCTGTGTGACAGGAGCTCCAGCGAGGCTCCCGAATGCATGAAAAGTCAGCTCAGGAATGCTTTTGTCAAGCTTCTGTCCCCACAGAGCAAACAACTCAGCAAAGCAAACAGAAGCCAGTGCTTGAAACCTCTGTCGACTTTGCACAGGCAGGAACTTACTCACCTGTGATGCCACAAACCCACCGTGGGGAACCGCACCCACAGTCTTTTCATCTCTATGCCTATGTAATGGTGTTGGGCCAGCAGGATGAAAGATGGCTACTAACAAGGCAGTAAGTGCTGTGGCTTTAGATTCATGCTTCCTGGGCCCCAAAGATTTTTTCCATTGCCACTTCCTGGCTATTGGGCAAGTTACTTTACCTTGGTACCTCAGTTACCCACATACCTGTTTCCTGGAAACGAGAAGGCTTAAATAAATTAATATAAGGAAAATACTGAGCTCAGGCCCATGTTGCATAATCAGACATTTGCTCTATTCTTGCTAAGATGTGGGGTCTGGAGGCAAGTGGGCCTCGGTCTGAATCCCAGGTTTGCCTCTGAAGTTAGGTGATTCTGAACAAGAAAGGAAAGAAATGCTTCCTGGATTGTCCATGACGGTACAGGAGATGGGTGTCTGCACACTTCAGTCCAGCATGTACCTAGTCTGTGGTCCTGATTCCAACCTGAAGACAGTGCCATCTGCCTGTGGTGAGGAGCACAGGGCTGTGGTGTAAGAGGCGCACTGTGCAAACGCAGGGAAGATGCAAATACCAAAGAGTTTCAAAACTAGCTTCTTAATTTTCAGAATCAACAAATTAATATCCAAACTACACTTACCAAATAGTGATAATGAGGCAACCTGCCACCCTTTGAAGGGTATATGCTGGCTGAGTTGGACACGTGGTAAGGACCCTCGGAAGGGAGAGGTACCACACAGCACAAGAAGGTAGAATGCAGAAGGGATTTAGCATCTGGCACTAAATTACATGTTTTTCCAAGACTATTTTCTCACCTGTAAAGTGGAGATAACAACTCATTTATATCCACTCCAGAGTTTGGTTCTAGGTTTGAATATTTAAGACTTGAAGCCTTTAATCTACGCCTGAATACAAGTTGGCATGCTCTTACATGCTGGGCTTCCTCCCAGCCCGTGCCTCCACCATTGCGTGTCTGCTGGAGTGGGTGGGCTGGGGTAGGACACGCAGAAAGCAGACAGAGGGAAGGCTAACTAGGAGAGTGTTCCTTTCACTTCCACTGCGCCACAGCACAGAACACAAGCTCTCCTGTGGGCTATCCTGTGCACATTCTAGTTACCATTAACTCAAGTGCAAGGCAGTGTCTCACTATCATTCCCAAAGAGGCAGTTGATCTGAACTTTGACACAATTGATTGCTGTAGTCAACCATTTGTAAACAAATAGAAAATTGAGTTCCAAGAAATATCCCTGCCTGCGTTCATGTAAGAAGAGCCAAATTCTTATGCGATAAGGATTTCCCTTGGACCTCCTCAACCCCAGGCATCCTAGCAGGATAGGTAGTTGCATGCGTCACAGGCGCTCACCTTCATGTTTGCCCAGAATAGGTGTGTGTGGCTATTATACCACTCATTGTTTGTATGGCTGTCAGATGTCACTTGCACAAGAAGGCCTCTCATTTGACACCCCTGAGGTTCCAGGCACCAAATGATCTTTCATTTTAACTTCATAGCACCCCTGGTGGTTTCCCTGTGCTTCTCACTTGATATCATGCAGGAGGATTGGTAGCCTCAGGTTGTAGGGATAATAACGCACGTTTCCACAGTCAGGTTTTAGCAGTTTAACAGTCTTGGCATTCATCAGAGTCCCCCCATGCCTGTAGGTTGGGTGCCACAGCTGCTTTCACAGCTGGGTGACAGCAAAGCCATCCATGGATACAAGTTGTTTTCTGACTCCCAGATCTACCTTCTTGTGTTCTGAGACTCTCACCTGCTCTTAGAGAGTCTGGGCACTCTTGCACAAAGACCATACCCCATCACTCCTCTAGCTGTCCTCCTAAGAGCCACAGCTCTTGTTGCTGACTGTGAAGTAGCTCTTTAAATGGGTCCCTAAGCTTTTAAACTATATGTAGGAATTTCTAACGATGGGTCCAGGAATCTAATTGCCAACCTCTGATGATTGATTTTTGCAGCCTCCATCCAGTTCCACAGCCAATACCAAGTTTCAAGTTTTTGCTACAACAGCACTCTACTCTGGGAACACGTTTTGTATGTGTTAGCTTTCACTATGTAACAAATGGCCATCACTTGCAACTTAAAACAATAACCATTTATCAGTTCACAGTTCTTTGGGTCACTAACCAGGTCTAGGTAAAGCTGGTGGTCCTATGGGTTCAGTCAGCTGGTGGGTTGGCAGGGTCTAGTTGATCAGAGATGGCCTTATTCACCTGCTTGATGATTCATTCTGAGGGCAAGTTGGTGCTGGCTGTTGGCTGCAGTGATAAGGTGACTCAAGTTGACCCCACAGTTCTACTGAGCAGAAACAAAGAACAAGCCTCATGTGTAGTTGTTTCTAAGTCCCTGATGGCATCTTGATATCCTATTGGAAAAAGCAATGCCCAAATCCATGTTCAAGAGGTAGAGAAAGAGCTTTTATATTGATGGGAGAAACATGAGATCACATGGCAAAGGAGTTTGCAGACAGGCTGGAAGGAATTTGTGGGCATTTTACAACTGACAAGATGGGTCACTTCCACACCAGATCAAGTAATGCCATTGTGGCATCATCATGTCTTTTGCTATCTGTCCTGATAATTTGGAAGCATGTGGTGAGATAACAGAGTCTTGTGGAGGAACTCACTTCCCTGAGTCACTGAGTTGCGGGGAGCCATGCTGCTCCACAAAGGATGCTGTAAGAATTAAACATTTGCTGTGCTGTGTCATTGAGGTTTTAGGGTCTGTGTGTTACTGCAGCTTCAACCACCCTGTCTTGACTACTGGCATGCATGTGTACAATGTTCTAAAAAAAAACAGCTTTCTTCAGGTTCTCAAAAGCATCTGAGATTTAAAAGAAGTTAAAACAAAAATTTCCTCAAGAAGATCTGCCTTTCCAGCTCACAAAAATGATCATGTCCTTTGGACATGAACGTGGCAGTCTGAAGTGTTTGCAGAGTGTGAAGGACCCAGCTTAGCAGCTCACTTCTCTCATGTATGATTTGCTTTTATAGTCCTTGTGACCAAATACCTGGCACAAACAAGAGGAAAGATTCATTTTGCCTCATACTTTCCAAATGTTCCATGGTCCTCTGTGCTTTGGCAGAATGTCGCGGTGGCAGGAGCATGTGGTTAAGAGTCTTCACTGTTCGGAAGCAGAGAAAAGCACATACAGCATACTCAATAAGGCAGTGTAAACTAAAGTCTTCAGAAAGACACCCCTAGTGATCTACTTCCTCCAACTGGACCCCAAGTGCTACCTTTGACCCCTCTCAATAATGTCATCTTGTGATGAAAAGTCATCAATCTGTTCATTTACCAGAGCCCTCACAATCTAGTCATCTAGTCATCACTGATGTACCTAGAGGTATGCTTCATTCATCTCTGAGGTGATCCTTAATTCAATCAAGTTGACAATCAAGGTTAACCACCACTTCTCATTTACTAGTTTACATCCTGGACAAATCCCTTAAGACCCCTGAGCAATAGACACCTTGGTTTCAAATCCAGGCTTCTTGAATAATGCTGCAGAGATCGTTTACTGAGCATCTACCTGATATTGGGTACAGTACTGAGTCACCATATCTCAAGATGCATATGTAATAGCCCTTTCCCATAGAGCAGACAGCCCTGTGTCATGTTGTAGTTTGGGCACATGCCAATTGCATGCATGTATACATGTGTGCATGGTCATGGGGAAAGTATTCTCAGTTGGTCTTAAGGGTTAAGGAGACGTCAGGAAACCAAAGGGAAGGCCTGTAGCCACACAGGTGCAGAGGACAACAGGGTGAAGTCACATAGGTACAGTCACATAGGGGGTCCAGGGAACTGCAGCTGTTCAGTGTGAGGGCTGCATCAGAGCTCAGCATGAACAGTAGAAAGGAGTAAAACTGGGGAGGTTGGCAGGAGCCACATCACCAGGGTCTGATGGGTAGTGCTGGTAACATGGACTTTATTTTCCGTGCTGGGAGAGCTCTCAGGAGCATTAGGAGGTAAAGAAGGGACAGCTTTCTTTGCAGTAGTCTTCCCACTGTGATGCAGACAATGGATTAGGGAAGGGCAGCAGAGCAGGGAGCCCCAGGCACTGCAGGGATAGGAGCAGAGCATAAGCATCTTGTCAGTCCTTAAGAAAGGTTAATACCACACTGTGAACGACTTTGGAAACCAAACAGCTCTGCATAAAGGTGGGCCGGCTATGACAAAGGCCCTGCTCAGAGCAGCATTGTTCTGGAAAGCACATTTACCCCTTCATCACCCACATACCTGTGGATGACAGCAAGCAGGCTAGTCAGCCTACAGGTAAGTTCCTCACCTTCCACAATCACTGTTGTGACCTCCCTCCCCCCGCTCCGCCCCCA